ATTTGCTAAAAAATACCTTATATTTAGCATCTTATTTCTCTTAACGAAGGTTTTTCAACAACAGGACTATATTTTAGGACGATGAGCCGAGGACTTTTAGGAGCAATCCAATTGTTTTCATTCGAAATCCAAAAGTTTTCCAATGAAACTGACAAATTCCTTTAAAAAGAAAAATTGAATCACAATAGGAAGATAGGGACCCAAAATAACATATACGTGGGATTATTTAATGTATCCTCTCTACTGTATCTCGTTTTTATTTCATCCAGCTGTTCCATTTTCCATAATATCTTTATCGTAAATTCTGAAGGACTTTTCAGCTATCTGTAACCTATGTAAACGACTTTTAGAGTAGATTTTGCAGCTATCAACAATTCCTGAATAAGATCTTGGTCCACCCTCGATAGAGAGGCAATGCTAAGTGAAGCTCAATGGCATTATCAGACCTATTCATACCATTATGGGACAAAATTAACTGTCAATCTTTAAATCATCTTAAGTGACTTAAAGTGACTTAGCAAGTTTGTTTAATATGTACATTTCTTTATCGACTCTTTGTTTTAAAGTATTTATAGAATTAATTTTTTCACTCCATACTATAAAGATCTTGTTATTTACTTAGCACATAGCGATTAAATAGTATAATATATAACCAAATAAGATGTATTCTTCTAATTAATGTAAACTTGCTGTTATTTTTCTGTTATTATGCCTTAAACCAAACAAAAGGCTATTGTTTTTTGCTCACGAAAGGAGATCTGTTAAGTCTCCTATCGCATAAAGGACCTCAACAACATACCTTTTGATAGGGACCAGCAAAAATGGCTGTAAATGAACATGCTTTCCGATATTTCACAGAGACAAACTTATTTATTCATTTTACGCCAAATTGAGAAATACCCATTCTTGAAGTCACCCTAAGTGCCCCGATAGGTACACGCATTCAAATCAAAACCCTTACCTTATAGAAGTTGTTTGACCTTGTTTTCGCAACTTGGTCATATTGGTAGGAAGACTTATAGGAACGCACCTTTTCCTGAGTCCTGCCAATATGACCAAGTTGCGAAAACAAGGTCAAACAACTTCTATACAACGGAAGGAGACTGCGACC